TCAATGGTGTATGTGGTCCACCTGGTTTAAATCCTTAATCTGCATGTGTATCTGTATAAAGTATCAATTGATGCACATCCTCCCAGAATGGTCATTGTCTGCTTCATTCCTCCCAAAATCACCCTTCATAGTGTACAACACGGGTCTTCAAACTTTCTATATAATGGTCCAGTTTACTGTCCTTCAAACTTTAGGGGGCTGGAATGTGGCCAGTTGGAGTAGAAAATGTACTGGTGTCTGTGAGATTAAATAGTGCCCCCTTTTTGGTATTAGGCAAGGAATAGTGTCCCATCGTTGGTGTTAGTGGGAGGAATAGTGTCCCATCGTTGGTGTTAGTGGGAGGATTAGTGCCCCATCGTTGGTGTCAGTGAGAGAAATAGCACCCCATTGTTGGTGTCAGTAGGAGGAATAGCACCCCATAATTGATGTCAGTGGGAGGATTAGTACCCTATCATTGGTGTCAGTGAGGGAGGATTAGTGCCCATTGGTATAGTGTCCCATTATTGGTGTCAGTGGGAGGAATAGCACCCCATCATAGATGTCAATGGGAGGATTAGTGCCCCATCATTGATATCAGTGGGAGGAATAGCACCCCATCATAGATGTCAATGGGAGGATTAGTGCCCTATCATTGGTGTCAATGGGGGGACTAGTGTCCCATTATTGGTGTCAGTGGGAGTAATCGTGCCCCATTGTCGGTGTACATCGCAGGAACTATGCTCCACTTTTGCTGACAGTGGGGCAATAATCCCCCAAAGGCCGGATAAAGGCAAGCAAAGGGCCGCAATTTGGAGACCACTGGTGTAGATGGCAACAAAAACCTTAGAATTTTTATTTCTTCCTAATCCTGTGATACCCTATTGTCTGTATAAGTGAGGGGACTTCCCCTCAATGAGGACAAAAAGCCGTAAAGGTTCTGGTCCTTCCCCTGTTCTATAGAAAACGGGTGTAAAAGAAAGTTTTGGCTAGAGACATGCTTTAACTACTGCTTAGAAATCTCATCAGTGGAGCCTTGGGGCCCTTTCATGTTATAGCATTCAGTTAAAATGCAGCCCATTCGTTTTGAATGCACTGCTTGAAGAAAAAAGTCCCTGAAGCATTTTTTTTAATGTAGGGCACTACAAAGCGTGGCATGTGCTTAGCAGCATAGGTTTTTTTTTTTTTTTTTTTTTCCTCCCCCGTTTTACCCTGTATCTGCATGTTGAATGCCATTCTAAATTGATATTGCCACAAGGTACCATGCTGTGCATGTATTGCAGTAATACATGATAGAACATGCATTACTGCAACACATAGGTGTGAAGCCAGCCTTAAAGTGGTTGTAAACTTCAGACATGAAATAGGAACAAAGCATATCCCTCTATAGTGTGTGTACTTTTCTCAATCCATAGTACTAAGTGCCATTTTTGTGTGCTGCCCCGTTCCTCTGCTATAACCACGAGTCACTTTCTGACACTAAGAGAGAAATGGTGACAGGGGAGGGACCTCCAGCACACATCATGTGATTGACGGCCTTCGCTCTGTTCCTGTGTGCTGTGTGAAAGCAGTGTCTCCCTTCCCTCCAATTTTGCTCTCAGAGCTCTCCTCACTGATCTATCTTCAGCTCCCCACCCCCTGCTTTTCAGAGCTGAGAGATCCTGTTTTAATTCTGCACTTTGAATGGATGTAGGGGAAAGACGGCTATAGATAAATGAGTACAACATATGGAAGATTTGTTTTCATCTCTGTGTATCACCTGAGGAGAGTTACTTCACTGGATATATGTAAGGGTTTACAACCACTTTAAGCTGGCTCTGCAAGATTCCTGGTGAACTGGCGGAAATTTGATCCACGGTCCTATTGGCACCACCCGGCTCAACAAAAATCAAATCGAAGGCGTTGGGTATAAAATTGTTGATGGAAGAGTGACCACATCCTATCAGATGACCATTGGCATCTTATACTGTCTATCAGATTGACAGCTGAATGGCCAAGTAGTGGCAGTCTGATGATGCTGTTGCTAATTGCGAGGCAGCGGCTTAACATTGTTAGACTGCAACAACTTTACAAGGGATTCCCAAATAATAATTTGCTTAATAAAAAGGTGTACAGAGAGGAATGATGGCAAGCATTCTGAAAAATAGATTTTGGGTTTACTTCTTTACCTTGCAAACAAAACTGAAGAGATGAACATTCTTGTGGTTTATGACACTTTAAATATGTATTTTATTTGCTTCCGTTACATTTGCAGTTCATTTTTATTCCTTGGCGCCTGTTAAAAAAAAAAATGCTTTTCCGTTACCCCTCACTTTGTTTGCGGCACTACCCGTACGCTTTAGCAGCTCGCTCCTCCAGAGGTAGCACTTAACCGTTCAGTTCAAGGTGGATTAACAGGCACTCGTCTCCTCACAATGCCCGACCCGACGAGACAGGAACAGGAACTTGACCCAGTGACACGATGGCTGCCATCGCCTCATCCGCTCTTTAGTTCTCGCTCTATTCCGGCGGACTGACAGCTTTTTATTAGCACGCCGGCTGATGGAAACACAAAGGTGTTAAGTTGGGCAGAATCCATTTCTGAGACAAAGAGATGAAAAGCTTGTTCTAGTCGTTTGTCTCATAATAAGAACACGGAAAACGTTCCAGAACAAGGAAGCGACACTTGTCCTGAAACCCTTTTTCTCTGGATGCTGCTGTACAATTTCAATATCCCACGTGATTTACGACTCAGTTTGGTTTGATTTTTTTTTTTTTATATGTCCTAGGGTGAGTTTTCTTTCTATAATTATGAAAAGAAATTCAGGAAGCTGACACTTTTTTTTTTTTTATGGCCTGTAATTGTGCACATTTTCAGCAAGTCTCAGGGCCGGGCTTAGTACGCTTATGAATATGTGTTGCTATATTTTAGTTGTTCTAATGTTTTGCTTATTGTGTTTTCTATGAGCTTGCTGTACTATATTTCTTGTGCTTTATTCTAAAAACGGATAGGAAAAATCTGCCAATCTTGGCAATTTTTTATTTTTTTTTTATGGTCGGTTGTGAACATTTATTATTGTATTTATAAAGTGCCAATAGTTCGCTCAGCGCTGTACATTACAGAGGGGGACAGAACATGTGACAGAACAACAACAATACAATGCAAAACATGAGGGGATCGAGGGCCCTGCTCTTTCGAGCTCACAATCAAGGAGATGAAAAAACTACTTGTCCAGGGACTAAATCGGGGACCCAGTCTACTTGTTCCTCATGACAATCTACTTGTCCAGATAAAAATGTTCGTTTTTTTTTTTTTTTTTTTTTTACCAAAACCGTATTTAAATCGGTGGTGATTTTAGGAATGTCTGGGGCTTTTAAAAACAAAAGAGGCTTTATGGCGACTTAAATGTGTAATATTTTTAACATTGCGCTGTTTATCGCCTCCTCCCCTCCCTGTCTGTCTCCAGCACCGCACCCGGGGACTAGCGGGGAGGAGAGAGACCTTGCAGTGTAATGAGCACTGATTGGATGGCTGCTCCTCAGGAAAGGGGGGGGGGGTTGAAGACTTATACATTATCCCTTTTGCTGCCAGAGCCGTTTTTTTTGCGCATGTTTATAAAATGATTTTAGGCCTGAAGATTACATATAACCCCCAAACATGATCTATTTTCTGAAAGCAGAGACCCTGGAGAATAAAATAGTGGTAGTTCCAATTTTTTTATATACAACGGCCGGATGAGAGGTGGTTAAGGATTGGTTCACACCTAAGCAAGAATGTCTGGGGAAACAGCCCCGTGTTTTTCAGTGTGCATGCGCGCATGTGTGTGAACTCTTAATTGCATGTGTCTTTTTTGGTTTTTTTTTTCCCCTTAAAGCTGCACTTTTTTAGTGCAGGTGCGGGAATGCATGTAATTTTACACACTCCTGAACTTTGCCTTTAGAGATTTTCCTTCACGTTCCTTGTCCTTGTGGCAACAGTCAGGCAGAAAGTCAGGGAAAATCGAATGTAGTTCTGTTTCCGTAGAGCACAGGAACGCTAGAACCCCTGTCGGCTTTATACTTGTTTTGCTGTCTGCGTACCTTTAGCAGATTTTTCTTTTTTTGTAGTTTAGACAGCCGATGTGACATGGACCTAAATGCAGGACTTTAAAAATAACTGCAGCACTTTCGAGCGCGTGAATGTGGAAGAGCGCAAAATGTGAAGCGATCCTTAGAAAGGAATAAGCGATTGCCAGACGAAGCCGAGCCTGCAGTCCTGGGTAGTCCTGTGTGATGATGCAGCATCTTGGAGCTGAATTCACAGTTCAAGCTGTTCGGCATTATCTCATTACGCCGACGTGATGAGAAGTGGCAGTGTGCATGGAGAGAGCTTCTTGTGTCTTACATTAAAGGCAAATGAGCTTAGCGTGAGGAACTGCAGACTCCCAATTTGTCTGCAAGTGCTGTTATGCTGTGTACATTGTGCATGCGCCGTGACAGTGGAGTCTGCCGCTGTGTGGCTGAATTATTCAGTTTATCAGTTCGCTAAGAATTTGGTGACTGCAGAGCGCTATGGAGCTCATTTATTTAGGCATTTTATTGATTTATAGAGAGTCAACCCGGCACTTTACAGAGTGCATAGAGGGCCATTAACAGCCTTTCCTGCCCCAGAGGAGCTTACATTCTCGTGTCCCTAGCATGGTCATACGCGGGATCATTTTTCATTGGCAAAACTTTGACATGTTCCACAGAGCTTCACAGATTATATAGAATTTACATCATTCTCTCCCCTACAGGACCTTATATTCACATGTACTGTTATTGTTCTTAAGTTCAAAGTCCAGGCAAATGGGGGAAAAATACCTTTTTAGCCCAAATATGTATTCATTTAAAAAAAATTATGTATTGTAAAGTGAGCTTGTGTTTGCCCATATGAGGAAAAACCATGTAATAAAGTGTTACTAAACCCACAATTGTAAAATCTGTCTGTGTATACAGTAAAGCATGCTTGTTCTACTCACTGTGGAACTTAAGGGGTTAATCCTCTGCATTGTGTAAAAAAATTCTGTTTAATCCTGGCCGTTCTGATACTCCCCTTCCTCTAGTGCCCCCCTCTTATCTTTTGGTAAGACATATCTTGTGGAGTCACTCTGCTCATGCTCGGTTTGGTGTGCATTGCTAGAGAGGTATGTTTTTTTTTCTTGGGCGAGTGCATGTGATCAGCACAGGGCCCAATCAGCACTGTCTAGACAGAGGTCAGGGGTTCTGCATCCTCCTACAGCCGAATGAAAACTCCTCCTACAAGCTTTGACGTGTGCTCTGCTGGACACTGATAGAAGTCACAAGACTGCTCTAACTGCTGATGAGAAAAGGTATTTAGCAGTTTATATTTACTAAACTAATTGCACTTCCATGTTCTGTGTACTGTGGGGGACCAGATCTAGTGAATGCAGGGTCCAGGGAGACCAGATATAGTGAATGCAGGGTCCAGGGAGACCAGATATAGTGAATGCAGGGTCCGGGGAGACCAGATATAGTGAATGCAGGGTCCGGGGAGACCAGATATAGTGAATGCGGGGTCCGGGGAGACCAGATATAGTGAATGCGGGGTCCGGGGAGACCAGATATAGTGAATGCAGGGTCCGGGGAGACCAGATATAGTGAATGCAGGGACCGGGGAGACCAGATATAGTGAATTGCAGGGTCCGGGGAGACCAGATATAGTGAATTGCAGGGTCCGGGGTTAGTAACACTTTAACCCTCAGCAGCATTTACTTGCCTTTCTTTTACTTGTCCACTGTTCACTTGGAGAAAAGAAAGTGTTTGGTACTTTGGATGGTGGAGGAGCCGTTTACTTTCCTTTCTTATATATGTAAAAGTCCTGGTGCTTGGTGATTGGCCCATTGGGGAGAGATAGAAATCCTCAGCTCTGTGTAAGCACCAATCAAAGCGACTGGGAGCTCCTGGCAGCTGAATGTGTGTTGCTGGAAAGGGGTGGGATAGGGCATGTAAATATGCCTATTGCTTTGCCCAGCATGTTCAAGGCACAGGTCAGCTCCACCCCCCCCCCCCCCCCCCCCATACCTAATTTGTATTTTTTATTAGAAAAAAAATCTATTAATTAAAGATCCAGTTGGCTGCCCTCACTGCAGTCGAGTCATGCCAACACTTGGCCTTAAAGGAGAAGTGCGGAAATTGAAAATAATAAACATACGTATTTACCTACCTGCTGCAAGCTGTTCCCTGACCACTGATCACTCAGTCTGCTGTGAGCACAGAGCAGAGTCTGCCAGTCATTGCTCTGTGTTCTGCTCCTCCAGTGCTCACTGGAGTTCCGTGAGGGTGCAGGAATGGCTGAATCAGGCTCTCCGCTGTGCCCTGAGAAGCTGACCCAGCTTCCAGTCAGGAATCTGTGTGGATCCCGACTTTGTCAGGATCCTCTGAGTCTGGAGCTGCTCTGTAATGTCAGCTGACCGTGAGCTTTAGCACGCTGTCAGCTGATTCAGGATCACAGGAGTGCAAAGGTAAGTGCACTCCTGTGACCCACATGAGAAGTCTCATTAAACAAGCTTTGTCCATATATTCTTTTATTCCAGTTATGATTCAGTCTATACAGTGAATTTTCTACCTGAATCTGTTACATCTGCTCCATTAGCCCTGAAGAAGTAGTCTGTTTCCCAAAAACATGTTGGATATAGCCGACCTTTCTGTTCAATAAACAATTTATTAAAAACAGGCGATCCTAACCACATATAGACACTCCCAGCCCATTCAAACCCCCTCACATCCACTCTCTCCCTGGTTGCAGTAGCTGTAAGCTCAGTGATGCTGCGACAGAGGAAATATTAGGCCACACATGCGGGGGTTTGAAAGCTAGCTTTTGTGATGGTGGATTTTAGCTGTAATGGCTGGAAGTTTCTTAGCAACGTCCTAGCAACAAGGCAGGAGGGGACAATGCCATCTCTGGTAGTTTTTCAGCCAGGTCCCAGGAGGTACGTAAGTGGCCTACATCTATAGCAAGGGCATTATCTAACTTTAATCAAAGATGCACTGTTTGTTTTTATCTACAGGCGTCGCCTGTCTGCATAGACATTTATTTGGTAAAGGCGAACTAACCCTATAAGTTTCCCTTTAAGGCATCCCATGAAAAAGCTGCCATCAGATGGAAAAAAAAAAAATACACTACCCTTTGTTAAAAACACAGCCCACAACAAGGCTCAGTGCATTATGGGCACTATGGTACATTGTTCTCTACTGTACATTGCTCTGGGTGCCATTTGCAACAACTGGGCACTGCACTTAGAGCAGGAGCATTGCCATGCACTGTAATAACACGTGTTTTAGTGTTCATTGCTACAGTGTTCAAGTGTAAATAAACCCTAAAGCTAATGGGAAAAAAAATTGTTTAGGTTTCGCTTAGGCTACACTTTTTTCGTCAAATTTGTCCCAAACTTTGGAAACCGTGTGTGTGTGTGTGTGTGTGTGTGTGTGTGTGTGTGTGTGTGTGTGTGTGTGTGTGTGTCATAGGCACACCATGATTTCGCTGAGGTACATTTAGATGCCGACGTGTATATTCCATAGTAAATTTAAAGCAGAACTACACCACATCTGGGAACCAAAAATGTATTTTTTAATTAATATTTAATATGTAAAGCAAACTCACTCATCCATCCATGTCTCCATTGTTTATTTTGCGGGGAAATCACTTTGAAAAACACCCCTCTAGCATTTCTGCCTGTGGCCATCTTGAGTGAGGGCAGAAGATTCATGTAGCATTTACTTCCTGGAATCCATCTGCCCTTAGCTCAGGCATGCAAGCAGGAGGGCGTGCTTAGCTGAGAAAACCCCTCTTCATCTCCTGAAGACTCCTGGGCTGTATGACATCACTTGCCTAGGC